GAGAAGCCTAGGGAGGTGAGGGCGTAGGGCTTTAAGGGTTTAGGGGTTTTGGGTTTTGGGTTTAGGGGTTTGGGTTTTGGGTTTAGGGGTTTTGGGTTTTGGGTTTAGGGGTTTGGGGTTTAGGGTTTTCAGGTTTTCGGGTTTAGGGTTTTAGGGTTTAGGGTTTAGGGGTTTAGGGTTTAGGGTCAAGGGTTTAGGGTTTAGGGTTTAGGGTCAAGGGTGTTGGGTTTAGGGCCTGAGGGTTTAGAGCTCAAGACTGTCTTGGGAAGTTTCGAGTGAGCCAGGTTTGAGGGTGTTTTCAATTGTAGTGTGCATATATATATATATATGTTTATTAATTTATAGTTTAGCCATATATGCACATATATATATATATGCTTATGTGTGTATATATATATATATATACATACTACAGGTTTAGTATGGTCAAGGAGGTCTAGTTGGGTTGATTGCAGGGTTGAGAAGATGGGCTTGGTCTTGGAGCGCAGGGTAAAGTGATTCCGGCGGGGGTTTCAGACTTGAGAAGGGGGTGGTTGAGGGTTTAGGGTTTAAGGTTTAGGGGTTTAGGGATTAAGGTTTAGGGTTTAGGGTTTTAGGGTTTAATTAGGGTTTAGGGTTTTCAGGTTTAGGGTTTAGGGTTTTGGAGTTTCGGGTTTTAGGGTTTTGGGGTTTAGGGCTTTTGGGTTTAGGGTTGAGGGTTATTGCCGGAGAATGCAACTGCTGTAATGAAGAAGGTGCCCGACAGGAATGCTGAATTTGGAGAGCCTTCCGTGCCTCAGCCCATCGCTAGAAGCCCCAAAAACCCTCAAACCGAAAACCCGTTTAGGGTTTAGGGTTTAGGGTTTAGGGCTTAGGGGTTAAACTCCAAACCCAAAAGCACCAACAGCACACCACCCCAAAACCGCTCCACTCTGGCCCTAGCCCGAGCCCCGTCCCCCCCACCATCCCTTGCAGCAAGGAGCTGGCGATGCATGACACCTTGGCCGGTAGAAGTCGGGTGCAGTACGAGGACGCCGGGACACACAGCCAAAATCTCAAATGCGTGCAGAACGCTTTTATAGACCCTAGAACCTCTATGAAACCTTACGCAAACCGTATGGATCGCTGATGAAATCCTACGAAACTCCTAAAGCCACAACCTCGGAAGCCTCGATGCTGAGAGGAGTACTCCCCCGACGAGCAGAAGGAGCTCGAAACCAAGGCGCCCAATGGGTTCCGAAAGGCTTCCTTCAAGAGATCGGTAAGGCTTCCACAAGGGTTCCTTAGGGGTTCTTAGTTTTTCAGCTTCAGGTTTCGCCTAAACCCGAAACTCCTAAACCCCGATTCTAATTATTAAGACCCCTATATTATGCTCTAGCTCCGGTATGGATCAGCTGAAGATGAAACTGCTAGAGCCCCCTAGTGCAACACAGGCCGGGGGTGTAGTGCCAAGCACGCAACAGCCTTGCCCTCGGGCTGACCATGAAACCCTAAACCCTAAACCCTAAACCCTAAACCCTAAACCCTAAACCCTAAACCCTAAACCCTGAAACCCTAAACCCTAAACCCCAGATCGTTATGGGTCATTGCGTTGAATTCCCAAGTTGCAACCAAAACCCTTCCAACCTTAGAGTAGTATAGGTTCCTCAGTAATTGCCTGCACAATTTTGGGGGCTCCTTGTTAGAACTATAGTACAATATACCCCCAAAACCCTATTCTAATTATTACGGCCCCTACACTAAGCTCCCAGACCTTCCAATATCCCGTAATTAAGGAGTATACCTTAAACCATCTTATAGTTCAAGGCATATAACTTAATAGCTGTCAGGGATTTTTTGGGAGGTCTGGGCCCTAAACCCTAAACCCTGTAGATCCCATAGATCCCTTAAAGGAACCTTTAAGGGATTCCTTTAGAGGGGTCTGTTCCTTAATTGAGGGATATTATGGGCTGGCCCCCTAAACCCAAAACTTACACTCTAAGCCCTTCATGTACCACGGCCGGCAGGTGCAGATGTATCTGGAGGGGGAAGTGCAGGAGATCGAAGTTTCCAGCTCCTCCTAAGCAATTATATGACGGGTTTTTAGGGTTAAGGGCTTTAGGGTTTAGGGGCTCAGGGTTTAGGGGTTAAGGGTATAGGGGTTTAGGGTATAGGGGTTTAAGGGTTTATGGGGCTTAGGGGTTGCGGGTTTAGGGCTCAGGCTATGCCACAAAGCCAAAAGCGTACGTGCAAGCCATGATCCCCAAAATGAAACCCCATAAACTCATCGCCCCCAATCCTAACACCAGGCTAGACCTTTTGTTTGCGTCGAGGTTCGGGTTTTTTTCCGGGGTTCGTGTTCCGGATGTTGGCTAAGAGTTGACTGTCCAACGGAGATATTCGAACAGAAAAGACTTCCTGCATGAAAGCAAAGGTACCTTCAAGAAGCCATGGTTAATGTAGTATACCAGTTTGGGTCAGAGACGACAGCCTCGGCACGCCAGATTAAACGGCGACATTGAGATCGGAACCCTGTTGCAAATCGGCCGTGTCAAAGTATGCTGTATGGCTCAGGGTTCAAGTTTAGGGTGGACATCTGAACATACAGAGATGTACGAACAGCCCTTGCCACTCAGCAGCATCCGTAGTAGCAGAAGAAGAGGACGACGCAGAGAAGAGGAAGAACAAATCTTGTTGCACCATGGGAACTCCCTACGTACCTTACAATTCCGCTCAAGGGCGTACATCTGGCTCGGAGCTGTCTGTAATTCGTGCAATCATGGCTAGGTTGCTTGAAGCAAGTATTGGCGAGAGCCAGGCAGACCGAACTTTGCGGTGCCGGGTGTTCCACTCCTTCCCTGCGCGTTGAAATCCTGATCCGACTTGCAGAAATATCTCATGGGCCTGGCAAGAGGTTCGAGAGCACCCGTCATGAACTCTCGAGGGAGCGGAAGGCATCATCTTGGTTCACAGTCGCAACTGCGCAGATAGTGCGGCCCGATTCAGCAAGCTCCGCGCCGAAATGAAGAATCATCATACGGTTTTCCGGAAATACCCCAGAACCGGTCACACAGTCCAAGAAGAAGAAGGACCTAAGGGCTGTCATACCCAAAAATGCCCAGAATCAGAATCCGACCACCTGGGTACCTTATGTTCTCAAATTCCTACATCGGCAAACTGTGGCTTCAGCATAGCACTTTCCGGAAGAATCTGGGTGCCGCTAAACCTTAAACCCTAGAAAGAAGCCTTTAAGACTTGCCTCTTGGAGCCTAGAGCTTCCTAGGGCCCTCTGTCTAAGCTAAGCCCCCCAACCCTGAAACCTTAGGGTTTAGGGTTTAGGGTTCGGTTTAGCCCTCAAGTCGAAACCCGAGACCCTGAAACTCGAACCCTAAGGCTATGAGGACTCATATGGTAAGGCCTTTGGCATCAAGACCCATACTATGAAAGGCTTTTGGGCTAAGGGTAAACCCCAATCCCTTGAACGCTCAGCGCGGCAACGGTTGAAGCAATCGGGCCTTTCAGACCCCAAGATGCAGGGAGCTGCCTTGGACAAGCAACGTTGTAAGCAACCTGACGAAAAAGCCCCCGGCTTCTTGATCAAGTGTTCAACATAATAAGTACTGTAGGGGTTAAAAGAAGTTGTAACCATGTTCCTGCAAAGCCGTCTAGAATAATAACAGCCCTATTCGATTGACATAGATCCCATCAAGTTGTGGGCTTCAGCTCAAGCTGACCTAAACCCTAAACCCAAAACCTCTTAGTCAGGTTCCTGGTTCCTTTTTGGGTTGAACCAAATGTATACTTAGGATTCTATAAGGTAACCCAAGAAAGGAACTACAATGAAGACTATCGGTAGAGCCTTGAACGACTCCTGCCGGGCGAATATCTTCTCCACACCCCGGCTTGCTATCTTCTCCACGTGGACCCCGTGCATCTAATAATGCCCATATGATATATAATATAGAAGCCCAAATATTTACCAATAGTATTCCTTACTTAGGGTTCCTTATCATAACTATGGTATAAGATGCCCCATGTCTACTCCCTTAACCCGCCTAAGCTCCAGAAAACTCATCGAAACCGCCCCAAGCCCTAAACCCTAAACCATGCCAAGGTCTACGCATGGTCTACGAGTCCTTCACTTGCTTCCGAAAGTTGTACCAAGACCTCCGTCGGGGCCCTCGGCCACAGGGTTAGGTTTTTTTTGTTTACAAGTTTCCTTAGTAAAAGTGTCAGGGGGCTTGTTAAACTCTGAACCCTACAAAGGTTTAGGGCTTTAGGGGTTTAGGGCTAAGGGTTTAGGGTTCAACTGGTGGCGAATTTGAGGGATTATATACGGGCTCTAGAAAGGGTTCTATACGGTCTATTCAGGGTTTCCCTTTGTGGACAGCTCCGAGTGTGATTGAAATGTTATCACTTAGTTTGGCGCCACGGCTTAGGGCTTAGGGTTTAGGGCGGAGATTTGCTCCTCGCATTCTTTCTGTCCCGTATGTCAGAAGCCCTGACACCTACACCCTGTGGCTTTACACCTAAAGTCCGAATCCCCATGTTACATGCTTTGAATCTGTGATACAAACCCGGAAACTCGTTGATGAGCCTTAACCTTTGTCCTGAATCTAACACTGCCCGACACCCCAAACCAAGTGAACCCAAACCCACACACCTTTTAGACCCTAAGCCCGGACCTAAAAGCTCTCATAACCCTATATCCACACCCCCAAGTATGAAGCCCTCACTCTAAGCCCCAAACCCTTTTCGAGGTACCGAGCTGCTGAACCGGCCTATACAGGCTGCACCGACTGCTGGCGGCGATGCAGAGGCGCTTGCTGGATTTGGCGCTCCGAGATCAGGGCGCACAAGTCTCCGCATGACATGCATATATATATATATATATATATATATATGCGTGTGTATATGTGTATACACACAGGGATACACACATGTGTATACGTTACATTGTATTTTCTATCTATATATATATATATATAGATATAGGTAGGTAGGTAGGTAGGTAGGTAGGTAGGTAGGTAGGTAGGTAGGTAGGTAGGTAGGTAGGTTGGTAGGTTGGTAGGTTGGTAGGTTGGTAGGTTGGTAGGTTGGTAGGTTGGTAGGTTGGTAGGTTGGTAGGTTGGTAGGTTGGTAGGTTGGTAGGTTGGTAGGTTGGTAGG